GAGATGATGATGTTGCAATAAGAGCATTATCTTTGAGTAGTTGTTGTGAAGTGCTGTCGAGGTGGTTCCGACCCATAGTGACTCTGTATAGGGTTTCCGAGGAACAACTGGTGAGCTTGAACTGCCAACCTTACGGTTCAAAGTCACTTTGCAGTCCAGCACACTAACCCACAGCGGTAAAATTATGTAAACCAAGATAATAAAATTAATTTTAGATGGACTATTAACAAATTAAAAAGCATTAGTATGCTCAGAGATTGTATGATGAATTAAAGTAATTCTATAAAAAAAACTGAAACTGTTCAAATTTTACCTTTACCTTGAAAGTTAAATTTCCTCTTGGTTATTAGTCAATAAATACCATTAGTCAGTTTGAACCACAAGACTGGTGGTTCAAGCTCATCAGCCACTCCTTGGAAACCCTATACAGGGTCGCTGTGGTTTGGAACTGACTCAGTGATACTTAACAACAACATTGTACATATTCCTAACAGTTGTTGTTGTTTGGTGCCATCGAGTCGGCACCAACTCATAGCGACCCTATGCACAGCAGAATGAACCAATGCCCGATCCTGGGCCAACCTTACTATTGTTGCCACACCTGAGTCCATCGATGCTGCCACCTGGCCAATCCATCTCGTTGGGGGTCTTCCTCTTTTTCTCTGACCCTCTATCTTACCAAACATGATATCCTTGTCTAGTGACTGTTCCCTCCTGATAATATGTCCAAAGTATGAGAGATGAAGTTTGGCCATCTTGGCCTCTAAGGAGCACTCTGGCTGCACGTCTTCCAAAACAGATCTATTGATTGTTTTGGCATCCCATGGCACTTTCAGTATTCTCCAACACCATAATTCAAAGTCATCAATTCTTCTACAACCTTCCTTATTCACTGTCCAGCTTTCACATCCATCTGAGGTTATTGAAAATACCATGGCTTGGTCAGGCGCACCTTAGTTCTCAAGTTGACATCTTTGCTCTTCAACACTTTAAAAAGTTCCTGTGCAGCAGATTTGCCTAATGCAATACGTTGTCTGATCTCTTGACTGCTGCTTCCGTGAGTGTTGATAGTTGATCCAAGAAGAATGAAGTCCTTGACAACTTCAATCTTTTCTCTGTTGAATCCTAGCAGTAAGATGTGTGAAAAATGAACAGTTGTAAGTGTGGTTTATCATAACTCGAATATACAGGGGTGTCCATGTGTGGTGTGGTAAAGTAGTGAAAAAGTTACAAATAGCATTTTGGTAGTTAAGATAATGTCTAATTTTTTTCATAGATAATGTTTGTTCCTCCTATGAGCAAATACTTCCTCATATTTAATAACAAACTAAATGGACCATTAAAAATTGGATATAAAAAAAATGCTAATTCAGATTGGCTAGCACTAGTCTGTAGATACTTTAATCACTTGAATCAAAAGTCAGAAAGATATATGCGGGGGCTTTGAAAGGTTCATGGAAAAATTCCATTTTTTCCATGTTGTCTCCTTGTTGTCATTGTTAGTGCTGTCAAGTCTGTTCCAACTCATAGTGACCCCTTTGTAGGGTTTCTGAGAAACAGCTAGTGTATTTGAACCTCCAACTTTGTGGTTGAAACCTACATTGCTATCGAGTGCTTATCCTACAACACCACACCAGGATGCCCCTGTATATTCGAGTTATGATGATCCACACTTACGACTGTTAATTTTTTGACATCTTACTGTTAGTAATATGTACTAAATACAGTGTTGCAGCATGTCATATGCATGATCTTATCTTTCTCATGCCAACCTCCAAAGACAAGTATATATTAGGTTTATGAAAATACTGTTAAGAAAGGCAATAATAATGAAGACTAAAAAATACAAAAGAGGTCTTCAATTTATGTCAGACCCGGAAGTACGTCATAAGTTGGGAACTACATGTATGAGTATGCTAAAGAATATTTGTATGTAAATAACTTTACATAATTTTGAGAAAATGGAATAAGTGTCAGTCAAAAATTATTGCTACTAGGGTTCCAGTTCATTCATGGAAGAGTTTATTCTAAACAAAATGTGTTTAAACATGTCTCTGTGATTAGTGAGTAGATGCAGAGACCAAGTTCTCACAGTAATACATTTGACTTTTTCTCATTAGGGTACCTTCAAGAAAAGGATACTTTTTGTGCCATACAAAAAGTAATTTTGAAGACAGGGATAATATCAAATATTTAACAATACTCAAATAAACGTCTTCCCAAATGACTGATGCTGTACAGCAAGTTTACAGGACTTCTATCCCACATAAAACAACAGTTTTTAGATGGATCATGTGTTACAAGATAGTCAGGAACCCCTCAAAGATGACCCCAAGAGGGAAGACTGTCACCCTTGAATGAAGAAGTTGTGGTTGAAGTCCAGAAACTGTTGGAAGAAGAATTTAGAATTCATATGATGACTACTGAAGTTGGGATCTCACATGGTTTGGCATTTTCAATATTAAGCAAACATCTAGATTTCACCTTGATATAGTCGCCAAAAACGTTGTGCAAAGATCAGCTAGTTCAAAGAGCTCATCTTTCCATCAGTCTTAAGCAAAATCAAAGCTAGTGAAGACGATTTCATAGACCAAATTGTAACTTGGGATGTGTCTTGGGTTTACCAATATAATCCAGAGAGCAAGGGTCAATCAAAACAGTAGCTTCCACGGGGATCTGCTGGGCCAGCTAAATTCAAGGCAGAGAGGTCAGTTCAGAATGTTATGGTCACTGTTATTTTGTAATCCCAAAAGGGTCGTATAAATTTTCTTAAAGGACATTGTAATTAGGTAGGCTTATTTTGAAAACTAAGGAGCTTTTGTAGCATAGCGATTATGAATCGGGCTGCTAACTGCAAGGTCAACAGTTTGAAACTACCAGCTGTTCTGTGAGAGGAAGATGAGGCTTTCTGCTCCCGTAAAGATTTACAGCCTTGGAAACCCTATGCAGGGTCGCTATGAGTGGGAACTGACTCCATGGCGTATCACCACCACCACCGTTTTGAAAACTGCAGTGGTGATAAAAGGCCAGAAAAGTTGGTGCCAAGGAATTTTTTTTTTTTTTTTTTTCCTGACAATGCACCTACTCAGGGTAGTAAGGGCTGTCCTATGAGAAGGGCTGTCCTATGAGAAGGGCTGTCCTATGATAATTTTGTTGGGAAACCTTACCCCATCTACCCTGTAACCGTGATGTTATCCCTTCAGACTTCTTTTTGTTCCCCAAACTCAAAGGAACATGATTTGAATCCCTTGAGGATGCCTAATCAGCCTTTTTGACATTGTAAATCAAAGAGTTGAGAATTCTTTAGGGAAGGAGTAAAGAGATGGAAACACTGCTTTCATCAGTGTATAGACTTGTATGTAGGGTATATAGAGAAACAATAGCTTTACATTTGATAATATTGTCTCAAAGATTTTTATGATTTTGTAGAAGTACCTTTGAGTTGCCTTTGTAAAATACTATACATTTTGTCTGACAAATCAAGTTGGAGGTTTTATAGCTCAAAGGCTGAGGTTGGGAACTTAAAAAACTTATTTTTATCATTGGTTGGCCTTTATATTATAAAGAACGTACTTAATGTCAAAAATGAAAAATGAAATTCCAGTAGTTAATCTGAAAAGAACATTAAGTGAAAGTAATATAGCAACTCATAAACAGCTCTAAAATTAAATAATAAGGCATTTATAACAGTAATGCTTTTCTTTTCAAAGTTCTTAGCATAACTGAAGAGAAAAAAAATCCATAGCTGTGACTGCGTGGGAAGATGCATTTAGAATAGCAGGAGAAAATGCTCCTCGGTTTTCTGAAATAATGTTTTATTGTCTCTCTCCTTGTGACCATTAAAAAATATAAGTAAACTAAAATTACCTTGTTATGTTCAAAAAGCTAAAAATATTTGTTGCCATGGAGACAGTCTCAGCCTAGATTCTTTCTGGCAGTGAAAATACTCATTCAAACCCATAGGGAAGTAACATTTCATATTTTTAACACCACAGCTGAAAAAATTTGTTCACATGGTTGAGAAGAATAGCATACCTTTCTTAGTCTTTGGTGTTATGTCAGGATTGAAACTTATAGAAAGCAAAAAAATACAAAGCCATCTAAAGGATTGAAATGTGTATTTTAATGTCTGTGTTGGATACCTTGTATTTATTTTCTTTATGGTGGTTTTATAGAAACAGGAAAAAAACGTAAGTGCTTTTAAATATAAATAAGCATTTATTACTTTTGCACAGTAGTAAGAATTTTCTCATAGGAATATTGAGCTAGAGGCAGTATAGTATAGCATTTTGAAATAAACACTGAATTCTAATTCCAGTGTCACTATTTACTGTCTCTGTAATTTTAAGTTTGTTGATTAACCTCCAACCCTCAAATTTTACTTATTTCAACTCGAGGTATTAGGACTAAGTAGGTGCTCAGTAAATGGCATGTAATTAGATTGTTGTTAAAGCCTGTCAAGTTGGTTCCAACTTAGTGTGTTAAGTTGGTTCTGACTCAGCAACTCTGTATAGGGTGTCTGAGGAGTGACTGGTGGATTTGAACCGCTGACCTTATGGTTAGCAGTCCAATCCTTATCCTACAGTGCTACACCAGAACTTTTTTTTTTTAATGTTTTATTGTGAATTATGTGATAGTTTACGTGGAACACCAGGACTTTTAATAAATTTTTAAGACAGTCAGGACTCCAGTGTAAACTTCACAGACGTGTGTGTATGTGTATTTCAGGATTGCCAGGAATGATGAGTACCTAGACTCTTTGAATCTTATTTCTCCTCTAGTGTTAGTTTCTCTTGGTCTGCCAAGTTTTTACAACTATAGTTTTCATTTGTCTTTTCAGGAGATGTATGACTTTAAATACCTAATAAAACAGTAGTTATAACTTGACTTACTATTTTGCTAGTTTCAACTTTTTTGACTTTCTAAGAAAGTTTAATTAAGTGAAAATTAGGGTTATATTTTATGTGTTTATAGTAAAATTTGAGTGTATTCTCTTTTAGGCATTTTAAGTTATACCTGACATCAAGTACTGAACGCTTCTCACAGAATTTCAAAGTAGTGATAGTGGATGGTAAAAATGAAAGCGAGTATGCAGTAAAGTGGCAGGACTTCTTCAGTGGACATGTGGTCGGTTAGTATGAATTTTGTTTGCCCTTGTTCTATCTCAGTGTTAGATGTCCAACTCTAACTTGATTACTTACATATTCTTTTTTGGTGATGAGAAGGAAGAATTGTCCAAGAAGTTCTATTCATTGACCATGTTATTTGAACTGTTTATATGAGCATAGGCATTCTAAGAGGGGACATGGATACCAGCTAGCATGTCAAACTAGTTATTTTAATAGTTAAAATTTTCTCTTATGTGATAAGAATTTTTTGCCTCCAGCCAATGATTATAGGCTTCCTTTATGAAATTTTACATAGGGAAGCTAGAAGATACAATGAAAAATGATTTTCACCCTATTCTGCATTTATTTCAGAAAATATATCAAATAAACAACTGCCTTTTGCTTTTTGAAATCTTTCTGCAATAGAAAAAAAATACATAGCATTCAAGTGTCCAAAGAGTACTACAGTACAAGACCTTGTAAGCTCCAAATCATGCTTTCTATTTCCTCTTAGTTCTTCCTTACTCCAAAAGTGGCGAAGTTATTTCAGAAGACAATCTACAGTTCTGTATGAAACACTGTAGACAGTCATTGTAAAAAGCTTAAGGAAAAGAGGTTTCAAATTATTAGCATTGAGGCTACCTTTTGGGAGGTGAGAATTATCTACTTTCTTTATGGGACTTTTGTTTCTTGGTTGCAAGTCTCTCACAATGTTTAGGCAAAGTCCTCTCTGATGAAGAGTTGGTTGATTTTCCTGACACTGATGCATAGAACTCAGTATAAATTGTTTTTGATAATGAAAATTATTTTTCCTTTTAAGGTGAGCCTGACTCTAGGGTTCTAGCCCACATAGGAGATGATGATGTTACAATAAGAATCAACACAGATGGAGCAGAATATAATATAGAGGTAAATGCATATATTGATGAATTTTTTTTTCTAATATCAAGTGTCTCTGATTTTTAAAAAGCCGTTTTCCACTTGTTTTAAGATGGCAAAGGTGAAAATTAATTATGCTTATTTCTTTTCTCCACATATTTAAAGTTTTTATGCTCACCAGGAAAGTAGATGAGTTTTAAAGGTACTATTTTATATACATATGGAAGTATCATAAAATGTACCCAGTAGTTCTTAGTCCTATAATTGAGACAGCATCATGTAAAATGATTAATAGAAAATCCTGTGTTTGCCTCTTGATTAATTTTTTCTTTATTCTTCCTCTAATAATCCTACTATTAAGTATATACCTTCTTTCTTTTCCCTTCTAGTCACTAGAAATTAAAGATCTATAAAGGGAGATAGTTCGTAGTATTACAAGTTGAAAGAGAAAATGATTAAAGTACTAGCAGTAGAAACCAAGACCAAACTAGCAGGAAAATGCTTATCTTATTTTATTTTATTTATTTATTTATTTTTTGGAAACTCTGGAGATTGAGTGTTATGCTTTTTTTTTTTCCCCCACTCAGGCATATATAATAAATTACATCTCCAAAGGGCACATTCTGCAAGT